TAGGCGAATTTTTGTAGTCTCACGTTAGTGGGACAATAAATAATGAAGAAAAGATATAAAAACTTTAAAGGAATAGAGGCTTAGTATAGATCCATTAATATGAATAACTGTTAATGTTATGAACTACTAGATTTTATAACTATGGTTAAAACTTTATTTCTTGTTGAAAAATTGGGTATAGAAGTTTAACGTTAGTCAGACTAGGGTAAATGTATGTTATTTCAATAACGTAACGTGGTATTATCGAGGAGAAACGTCCAAAAATATGCCAAGATTTCTCATCTAATGTATAGGTGCATAAAAGGTTTAAACCTGTTGAATATAATTGTTTTATTGAATTGGCTATCTGCGCTACATATGTGTATGTGTGTATTTCACAAAGAATCTTCCACATTTTTTTATGCAAAAATTTGTTTTATTCTCCCTTGAATCTGTTGAAATAGTTTAAAATTACATAAAGTTCAGAAACCTGTTTGGCTACTGTTCAACCTGGAAACATTAACATTTAGAAATAAAATGAAAAATATAAGGAATTATTAACGTTCTAAACGCCTATTAGTATTTGAAACTTATAATTAAGGGTAATTTTTATAAAAGCTGTTCTAGTTGAACCTATTGTAGCCCCCCAGTGGGACAGCGGTATGTCTGCGGACTTACAACGCTAGAATCCGGGTTTCGATACCGTGGTGGGCAGAGCACAGATACCCCATTGTGTAGCTTTCTTAAATGTTCCATCTTATATATATACATTGACAGAAAGTTGCACTTATGTGGTGAAACATTATAAGTCACACCCAGCTAGTACTACACTTGAACCTAAAATTAATTTTTAGGGAGAGATGACGTAAGCATTAGTGTTTTGGTGGTCAGAAATAGAGGTTGATGTTTGTATAGCAGCAAACCCAAGTCGGTTATTGTGTTTGTAGTTTCAACCCATTTCATTTCTGACACGACACAGGACGTATCCACGTGAAAATCAGATGGTAAGAAAAGGAATGGAACTGGGTTGGAGGGGAAACTGTCTTCGTTCTTGTATGGCAGGAATAACGGAGCAGCATGGCCATAGGTATTGGTCAAACGGAGACCTAATGGTGCTTGCAGAATAGAGAAGTTCACAGGTGTTAGGGATACGTTTTCTATGGACAATATCAAGCACACATACACGTGTAGCCCATGTTGTTTAACCAAGGTATAGTTTCATTACCAACATTTTAGAGCTGATCATTGTTACACCCAAGTAGTTACAACCATTTTTACCACCTATACAACTGGCTGAACTTCTTATCAAATGGAATTCATCTGATCCTAAATTTTCAATCCACAGTTTCCCTACTTAAGATCCAATTCTTGACATTCCTGGCTACATTCATTTAGTCAATTTTCTGCATCATAAAACATCATTTTGACTAAAACCTTCGTATTTTAATTTACACTGTGGCAGTTAAATACACTTCAGCCAAATGTGACTTTGTGCTACAACAAATATTTCAACTTCTGATAAAGGAAGTTAGAATATATTTCATAATGTATTCAGTGTGAAATTTCCTTTCGAGATATGTATCATTAATCTTTATAATCTCTATAGTTTATTCAGCTTTGCCAAGCGAATCAAGGAAGAGCTGAGTATAAAAACTGGGGTACAGGCGTTCTTCACATATGCGCTATGCATATTAAGACATACCTGTGCAGTAACTATCCAATATTAAGGAAATCTTTCTGTCCGTGGACGCATCTCCTCCTAAACGAGTTGACAAGTCCAGACCAATCTTGGCATGCTAACTTAATAGTCCAAAAGAAAACCAGATTCATATTAAACCTTCTCATATATTGAAATATATCTTTTATAGAATAACCCCTATATAGTTACTGCAGTACTATTGTAAATGGCTGAGTTTCAAGAAAACTTACTCCACAATTTGAGGGTCGTGGGGGCGTTATAAAGTGACGGTCAACCCCACTATTCGTTGGCAAATGAGTAGCCCAAGAGTTGACGGTGGGTGGTGATGACTAGCTGCCTTCCCTCTGCTAAATTAGGGACAGCTAGCGCAGATAGCCCTCGTGTAGCTTTGCGCAAAATTCAAAGCAAACAAACACTTCCAATCAACTTTTCTAACACCTCCTAACTTCCGATCCAATTCCCCTGTCTTACGATAATTTTCTTGGAGAATGAACGCTACTGAAAATCCTCGCAGATATTTTGCTCATTTTCAGCAAACCAGTCACTGTTCATTGGTCACTAAACCAGTCACTGTTCATTGGTCACTAACCTACTTATATTTGCGTTAACTTTGTTTTTTGTTGTTGTTGTTGTTTCCTGCTCTCCATCATATCTTGGTTCCCTACTGTGTAGCAATGGGGCCAACTTGCTACTCGAATTGTAAGCTTTTTTAGAGAAGCACACTCTCGAACCCCCATAAGTTCTCTTCTGTCTGCCTTTGCATGTGCAAATCTGACAAAATTGGTTCCCCCTCTTTTTCTTCACATCTTTTTTACGTTAGACACTTGTAATGAAGGTCTGATTTTTCTTTGTTAGTTTTTAATAAGGTTTTATAAGTTACTGTACAGCCTAGTGTTAAGGTTAACATATCCACCCTAAACTACATTGCTTGTATCCACCTATTTATGAAACATTGACATTGCCTAAGTAATAAAATATTTAAAGAAACAACAAAGATTTTATAGAATTCCTGGAACTTTCTTGGAAGATCTTTGAGCATATAGACGTATGCTGACTATTATTAATTCTATATTCATTTGAATATGATTTTAAGAGCTACTATACATGTTCAGCTAAGCGTTAGTATAAAACTGCAGGAAAAGGAGGGGTTCGATACAATATATCGCACGCAGGAACAGTAATAGTCTGGTGACGCAGCGAACAGCTGTGCAGATTCAATAGCACACGATAGTTAAAGTTCATTGTCAGCACAGAGTACAGTAACCTGTGCGATCGATTGTCAGCAGCGAGCTAGCCCTTTGTACAATATTCAGTAAAGGTGTTAAACTGCAAGGTGAACGGATGATTCAGTAGGCTGGCCACTACTCTGTCCAGTCTCCGTCCACACCAATATATCATTCACTAGCCTCCTAGTGCACACTTTTAATTACGTCGAAAATATAATCGTTTTCCCTGTTTCTATGGATAACCTGGATTGACCAGTGTCTAAGACTAAAATCGAGGTTAGTCACATGTCTGACAGTAGAACAATAGCTTGCTGTGGGGACATCCCAAAATCTGACTCTAAGCACAAGAAGATTTCATATGAACTGACCATCGTACTGGTTAGTTGTAGGTAAGATAGTAGTAGTAGTAGTAGACTGGTGGCTAATGATAATTATAACCGATTTGTTTATTTGTTGTATCTATGGCAACAAGCGAACAAGTGTTTCATTTAGAGCTGTTATTAAAAACGAAAGTGACGCGTTTTGTCGTCTGATCATGAATAAAAAACAGCTCGGTTCATACATTTGGTGGAAAACTAAAATAATAATAATAACTCAAAGACCTATTCTATGCCCCCCCAGTGGCTCAGCGCTTATGACACTAAAAATTGGAGTTTGATACCCGTGCGAGCACAAAACAGTTAACCTATGGTCTAGATTTGTGCCTAAAAACAAACTAACAAATCTATTCTATACTGTTGTATTAATACTAATAAAATTCTCCTTTATCCTATTCAACGTATGTCTTAAGAATAATATATCTAACGTCTAAAATCACATAATGAGATACCGTTAACAATGAATTGATATAATGTTCCAAATGGTGAATCATATATTTAAAAACAGCTTAGTTACTCTGTAAGTGATATATTGTGTCCTTAGAGACCAAGTTATAATATAAGTGGAATATCGTGTTCTTCACAAACAACCCAGTTATACTTTAAAGCACTGTTTTCCAAATTTAAATAGCGGCGCCCCCTAACTTGGCAAAGTTTCCGTTGAACCCCTTTTCCCATTGAAATAATTTTCTCAAGTGATAACAGCAAAATCGTCATTTTCCTTACCTGGTTTTAATTATTATTTCTTAAATGATAAACTACTTATAAGAAGTGAGTAAATACGAGAGCGAAAAATAAATCTTTGAAATCAATTTAATAGGTTATCGTCCTCTCCAATTATTCTGTTTCTTCCGGTCTTTATTTTTGGGCTTTCGCGCCAAAAGTCCGCCCCCTTCCCCAACGCCTCCTGTAAGTAAAATGTTGTGCCCATAGAGACCTACTTCTAATATAAGTAGATCGCGTTTACAAACAGCCTAGTTACACTGGAAGTGAAATATTTTGTCTTAAATAACACAGGCCTGCGATGGTTTTATTGTCTTAAAATGTTTACATGTTCTACAGTAATTCCTATACGCTGAATCCGAAAATGATATCCCCTTTTTTTTCCATCACGTACAGATTTTTCACAAAACTTCATATGTACTTTTACATAAGTGAATCATTTTCATTGAAATCGGGTCACTTTTGTTGTGCTTAAAATGTTGACAATTACTGGCTATAGTTTTCGCTAAGCCAATCGGGACGTGAGAGTTTTATTGATAGTCCTAGAACCTAAATATAATAATAAAAATGTTCATTATGGTAAATGAAATAATAATTAGATCTAAGTAAGAATGTTTGGTTTTTCTTCTCAATTTGTAAAAAAAAACTTACGTGATAGAAATAAATGAATATTATTTTCGAAATCTGCGTAGCTGAATAATGGAAAATCCGTAATTAAAATCAAAATAACTTGTGTAATCATTACCAACCTGACGCCTGTAAATGAATCTTCTCAACACTACTGTAACTTGGGGTCAAGTTTGTTTGTTTTGAATTTCACGCAAAGCTACACGAGGGCTATCTGCGCTAGCCGTCCCTAATTTAGCAGTGTAAGACTAGAGGGAAGGCAGCTAGTCATCACCACCCACCGCCAACTCTTGGGTTACTCTTTTTACAAACGAATAGTGGGATTGACCGTCACGTTATAACGCTCCCACGGCTGAAAGGGCGAGGATATTTGGTGTGACGGGGATTCGAACCCGCGACCCAGAGATTGCCAGACGAGCGTCCTAACCACCTGGCCATGCCGGGCCCTTGGGGTCAAGAAGCTTAACATTAGCCTACTCTAGCAAATGTGTCCACTTTTCCCGCTTCCAGCGATATATATATATATATATATATGTTCTTGGACACTGTATATCTTAGTACGAAAATATTCTAAGGCAGTTAATTACAACCACAATGTAATTAAGGAAAATTGTTTACAATATTTAGTGTTAATTAACATTATTTTTGATTGAATATTTTAAATATGGTTGAATTCACAAATCTCTGTTTTTTGTTATCGTGCTTAAATTTAAAACGTTTGTTACACTAAATTAATATTTGTTATTCTAATTTACAGTTTGTTTTATATGCCGATAATTACGCGTTCAATTATTTCGAACATTTCAGACGCCACCTATCTTCCACCAACATCAATATGATGGAAACATTAGCCTCTTCTGTCGCTCGGCCTTTTCAGATCCACCATATTAATTCTGACCATCATTCGACAGCTTTCACTGCACTCCGGGACATGAGAGTGAAAGGTCAGCTATGTGACGTAACGTTGAAGGTGGGAGAGCTGTCTATTTCAGCACATAAAGTGGTCCTTTCAGCCTGTAGTGCCTACTTCCACGCCATGTTCAACAGTAAGTTTACTTTATGACATTAGAAAAACAGTCGAACGCACGTCTACAATTTTAACTGAATTTTTTGCGGCGAATCTTGGACAGCAAGATAAATATTACTAATTTCTATTTAACTTTGCAGTAATGGTAGTATAGAGGCGTTGAGATAAAATTATTGACTAGACAAATTGAATGAATTACTTGTAAAAATATTTCAATTAAAGTATATATATTTTACCCTCAAAATACGATTTTTGAAAACAATAACAAATAAAACTAAAGAACAAAATTTAAACAAAATTTAATACGTTATTAATAAACGTTTGTTTAAATATAGATAGTAATAATAAGTTGAAATTAAATTTGTGAGTGGTGTAAATTGAAAAATTAATTTAAATGCACATTGTTCTTAGATGAAAAATTACTTTAACTGGAAAAAACAACAACTCACGTTTGATGACATTGTAACCAACATTAACATGTTAAACCACGATCCAGCTAAGTGCACACTTGGCTAGTATTGTAGTATTTTTTTCAGCCCAGCCAAACTGATGACAGATCAAATCGCATTGTGAATCTGAGCAGACGAAGAATACATAGCAAGTTATCGGGACCTTAATAACGTATTGTCCCAATTCAGTGCGTTAGACCAATGATACCTTATGGCCCTGTTGGCTACCGATCAAGGGACCATAACAGATTGATTTAATACGTAGTAAAAATTATGGCTGGCATCATGTGATTGAAAACTACGTTATGATTGGCTTGTTTCGCTATATGTTGGATCAATGCGTCATAGCGCTGTCGGCTGGTGACTGCGCGCTGGATCAAATCAACGTGTTATGGCTCTGATCGCTTACCATACCCGAGTTAGAGAGAACGCCTCCTAAGAGAAGCCGCTTTAAATCTAGTTAATAGTCTTATAGCTCCAGAATGAAGAGAATTTTGATTATTTCTCAAATACCATATATTATATTTGACAAGAGAGAGAGTGACTTTTAACAGTAATCAAACAAGTGAAAAACAAAACTAGAAAAAAGAACTTACAAATAAGTTTAAAATAATATATGTATAAACATTAGAACCTTGAAACTAAAGCTTACATGGTTGTACATTTTTCTAGACCTTGTATTTAAAAATAGCATATGTGGTAAGTGACATAACTACAAAATATGACCCCTACCGCATAAAAAGTAATTGGACCACCTACATTTATTCCCCTTGTCAGTAGTTCTTAAGTTTGTCAGACCCTTCGCCCACCCCACCCCCTTCCCAGCAATTGCGAGAGCATACTTACGCCACTGTCTGTGGCTTTTGAAAAGGAGGATGACAGCTTCAGGTTTTTATTTTACCCGACGTTTGTCTGAAGTTGTTAGTCGTATTCTTGGATAAAGGTTTCCATCCTTCTGTCAGGACTGAAAACTTAAAAAACAATATATGTGATTTTGTTTTGTTTGAGTGATCTTAAGTACAAGTTTATCGTTACTACGAAATAGTTGTCATTATCGAGCCTTTTTAATCAATCAGCTTTGAAACTTGTATTTTTTTATAGAACTGGGTGAGAAATTGCAACGGAGGGTACACATTTCAAAAGTTTTTGTTGTTGTTTGATTTAAAAAAAAATTAAGTAGTATCTTGACTTGGAGTTTAACTAATAAAGTCATTGTTGACAATCCGGCGAACCACAGACCATTTCTTAATAAAACCAATTAAAAATTTACCTGAAAATTTAATATTTCCTGATATCATTTCAGGCGAAATGGCTGAGAAACACCTTGCAACAGTAACGCTGCATGAAATCGACAGTTGCGCCCTCTCTTCATTGGTTGAATTTGCTTATACGGGTGAGGTATTGATAACAGAAGATAACGTGCAGGTAAATGTATATTCTATTTGTTCAGTAATAACTACACATTTTATAACTATATGTTAATAATGTTTGTGTAATGTGTTATGGAAAGCATATTTGTGTTTCGTAGAAACAATGATATTTTTTTAATATCTCAAAATGAGAGATCCAAACAAGCGGATCATTTTCCGATTTTTTTATATCAAACAGTAAAATACAGGGTAAAGTAAAATATCCTAGAAAGAGCACAGGAGATCTGTTTTTATTAATTTTGTAAGGTATCATGATCAAATCACCCGACCACACGAAAAAACAACTTCATGATCACATATAAACCCTAAAGTTCACATCAGCCACAAAGTTGGCAAAACATTTTTCGAGTTCTCTAATGCCAAGTTAATAAAATATAAATAGCAATGAAATCTTTTTATACATATATGTTATATTCAGACAAATTGTTTGTTTAGAGATGGTTAAATGCAGTTAAACTTTGTTGTTTTGGTTTGTTAAATTTCACGCAAAGCTACTTGAGGGCTATATGCGCTAGTCGTCTCTCATTTTGAAGTGACAGGCTAAAGGAAAGGCAGCTACTTAACACTACCCACGGCCAACTGTGGAGCTATTCTTTCACCAACGAATAGTGAGATTAACTGTTAATAAAATATAAACCGATTTTTTAGAATAATATATTTCTATATAATACCTATAATTGTATTTTCCTTATGTTTATTATATCAAAGCAATCGATTTATGTTCATCATAATTCTATATGTTTAATAACTTTAATACCAGATGTCAGTTATTCTTAGACTGTTGCCTAGATACCTATTTAAACCCAGTATTACACAGTTTAACGAATTTTATTGTTCAGTATATTGTTGTTTGATGAAGGTTCAGGTAAGAGGGCCGAAAGCTCGCAAATAAAAGTATTTTAACATAGAGAAAAGTCCGCGTATAAATCTGTACTAATTTACCTACGTTACGAGTCTTAAACAACGATAATAACAATATGTGGAATTTAAGTTCAAATTAATTTGAATAAATTTAAAAACTTTGACTGCTAAACCTCGTAATGCAACGTAATGCGGAGATCTTTTGTTTGATATGTTAGAAGTAATTTCTTTATTAAGATTAATGGTGTCTAAAGTTCTATTTGTTCTAACTTTGTTTGCTTTTGACTACGGAGCTGACGTTTAATAAACTGAGAAAAATAAGGATTAGTGCAAAATTGTAATGGTGTCTTATTAGTTCTAAATTTGTTTTCTTACCGTTGACTACAAGGATGACCTTTAATAAGTTGAGAAACATAAGGATTAATGAAAAATGTGAAATTTCGAGAAACATTGCTTTTAACTCTATCAGTATCATTTAGTCCAAAAAGATAAATAGCTACATGTTTGGTCATCCAGTAGCTTTCTCTTACTTCAAGTTCCGCCCTATCAACTATAGTGGATCGTCACATTTAACATTATATTGGTTGAACTAAAAAATCTTTGAAAGTATAACCAGAAGAATTAAAATGTTGATATAGGAAATTATTTTTATTTTTACACCTGTGTCCAAACTATCCATTCATCCACGTAAGCACGAAGAAATATCTCCCACATACTAAACTTTACACCGTCTACAGCTAATAAAGTAGATTACATTGTTCCCCGATGTCGTATTGGTAAACAAAAGTTATAAGACCGTAATGCTTTACCTTTGATGTAAGTAGTGGATGTGTTTTGCATATATAAGATAATTTCTATGATAACATTGGATTAGGGTGTCGTGGCTTTGATACTGCTGTGGATGAAGACTTGAACCTCTGCCAGCTAGTGACCCCACAATAAATGGAACAAGCTATCAGAATACTTGAAATTAGTTTCGACACATTCGTGTGTCATCTTCAGTCTTACATTATTTTTCTGGCAGGTAAACAGGTCTGTATGACCCATTTTTCTTCGTATGAGAGATTTTGGTCATCAAATTGACTGGGCATCAACAAGAATTATATACAAAACGGACAACTAGAAATAAGAATAGAAAACCTGCCTAATTTCAACACTTCTCAAGGTCACTTTTAAAGCTAAACACGCCTCTGACCGTTAGTGTTCTAAGTTCCGGTGTCACATGACGTTGTTGACCAGTTTTCCAGCCAGATGAAAACGTGAGACGAGGAAGATGAACAAGTTTTCTGATAGTTTTTCATTTAGTTGTTGTTTCCTCTAGATTTTTAAGTTAATCCTGGGCATTGGCTTGTGGGAGACCAAAAGATGGATGTAAAATTATATTTTTTAACAAACATTTAACGTTAACGTGTAACAAACGTTACAACGTCGAAACATGTAGTCATCAACTTTTTGAAGGCCATAGATAGGCCTAAATAAAATGTTTCTAATTGTGTACCAGTTTAACGTCGAATATTATTTATGATTTGAACTTTATACACAAGTTTCAAAATACTATAATTAAGAGAAAGAATAATTAGAATAAGATTTTAATTTTAAAAAAATGGAAGTACACCGAATTAGCTTTAATTTAATTTATTTTTTAACATTTTTAATATACTTATTTTCACATAAGGTTATATGTTTGTACACTTGGAAAATGTATGTATTTGATTTAGTTTCTTTATGTTTAGTTTAAAAACGGCATTTGTATGTTTTTGTTATAGATTCTCAGTAAAATCATATCCTTTGAAGTCACGAAACCGATCGAAGACATTTAAAAAGGAGAGAAAACAACAGAAGAGTATAATATACATAAGTTCGTGAATACGTAATTTTCGTCTGTATTTTTATAAGTACATATTGCTCTTCGAAGAAACTGAAAATTTATAACACGATTTTTAAACTTTTATATGTATTTTCCAGTTATTAAAGTGCTATATTAATTCTTCTTTGTTTTAACTACAGTCTCTTCTGCCAGCGGCTAGTTTGCTTCAAGTTGCCAGTGTTCGAGAAGCTTGCTGTAGATTCCTTCTTCGTCAACTACACCCCTCGAACTGTCTTGGAATCCGAAGTTTCGCTGATGCTCATTCTTGCGAAGAACTTCATCAGAAATCACATAAATATGCTCTCCAAAACTTTCAAGAAGTTGCCTTGACAGAAGAGTTTCTCCTTCTTCCTTTGACAGAGGTATTTCCAAAAGAGAAATTAGATTGCCCCAGAGTTCTTGAGTTTACCTTCTGGATAATATCCACATTTCAAAAGTTTATTGATATCAGCCTATCACATGTTACATTAGTTTACTGACAATCACCAGTTTGTCCTATGTTACACAGTTCCCCGGTGGACGAGTGGCAAGTCTACGGGCTTACAACGCTAAAATCCGGGGTTTGTTTTCCCTCGGTGGACACAACAGATAGCCCAATGTGTCTTTGCAATAAAACAAACTGGACAATTATTAAATGTTTTTAGTCTGGTGTGACCTGGTGGTTATGGGACTCAGACTCGCAATCTGAGGATCGCGAGTTCGAATTCCCGTCACACCGAACATGCTCACCATTTCAGCCGTAGAAGCATTATAATGTGACAGTCAATCCCACTATTCCTTGGTAAAAGAGTAGCTCAAGAGTTGACGGTGGATGGTGTTGACTAGCTGCCTTCCCTCTAGTCTATCACTGCTAAATTATGGACGGCTAACGCAGATAGCCCTCGTGTAGTTTTGCGCGAAATTCAAAACAAAACAAATCTATGTTACACGAGTTTACTTAGGGAGGAAGATGTCTTCGAAAGCACCTCACACTCCCAGATCCCGACGAAAAGATCTAAAGTCCAACTCAGACTCCGCAGACGGGTTTACTAACTATTGCCAGTTTGTTCTATATTATACAAATTTATTAACAATTCCTAATGTGTTTCATATTAAGAGTTTAGACACAGAAGTTGGGCCTGGTGGCTAGATTACTAGACTCCTCAAGAATGGGGGGGGGGGGGTCTTGGGATCGAGTTCTATTACT